AGGCCTTCTTTCTCAGAAGGCCCGGAAGTCTCATTCCAAATTTGGAAAACAAAGGACTGGAAAAAGTATAAATAAAGAGAGTTTCCTTCATATTGGGGGCCCAGAATTTGAAAGACACATTTTTCTCTGGGCCTCCACAGAATTTAATAATAAAATGTAACTCCTGTAGTAGTCTGGGCTGCAGTTCAGCCTCTGCTTTGGCAAGGTGCTGTAACTGTAGTCAGCTGGCCAGCTTAATAAAGGCTCTTAAATTTAAATTCTGAGTCAGTGGTCTATCTCGCTGAGTGAACCCATAACAATCTTACACCACCCACTCCCCAGCTCCCACTCCACTGTATCAGGGCACTGGCTGTGCTGGTATGCAGCTTGCCCATGGCAGATAATGGCTCCATAGTCTCCAGCCAATTCCTACGACGAATCTCCATTGTTATATGCTACTAGTGACCTGGTGCACAGATTCATGCACATTAAGAGGAAATTAATTAGAAGGTGGCTGTCGGAGCAGGACTGGGGGAGAAGGGCCAGACATGCCCTGGAGCCAACCTCCCAAGGTCTCTCCCCGGCCTGCCGCACCTGGGTGACTCCGTGGCTTGAAAGGCATCTGCAGAGTGAGTGGGGTCCCTCCAGCAAGTGGGGTCCCTCGGCCTGGCCTATGGGAATCAGGCTGAAACTGGCTCTCCGACATCCCCTGAGGAGTCCCGGAGTGTGAGAGGGCACTCTGCAAAGTTGCTGTTGTACAGGGTGTGGAATGCAAATGCAAGTGTGCAGTAAACCAGATTTGGGGCCGACAGTGTCCTAGAACAACATAGCCCACAGCTGAAGGTAGAATCACAGCCCCGCGAGGAATCAGGCTCCCTCCTCCCAGCTCAGCAGCTCCTGTGTTGAGCGTCTGCCTCCGGTGGTCAGTGTGCATCATAGCGAACTATCAGGAGGAGGGAAGGACACAGCATATTAGCCTTTTATATATATAGATGGGTTCTGTTTCTCTGGAGAGCTGTGACTAAAACAATGTATTAGACGTCCTTGAAAGCCCAGGCACTGTTTGTTGTTGTTGTTGTTGTTGTTTTTAATCCTCACCCAAGGATATTTTTCCATTGGTTTTTAGAGAGAGTGGAAGAGGGAGGGAAAGACAAATATTGATGTGAGAGAACACATCGTTTGGTTGCCTCCTGCATGTGCCCCAACTAGGGCCCAGGCCCAGGAGGAGCCTACACCTGAGGTACATACATGCCCTTGACCAGAATCAAACCCAGGACCCTTTGGTCCACAGGCCAACAATCTATCCACTGAGCCAAAGCAGCCAGGGCAAGGCACTATATTTTGTGTCAGGGGTACACAGATGAATGAAGAGATGGGAACATGTAGTAGTTAAAACCAGACACATTGACATAGGACAGATCCGAGTTTAAATCTCAATTTTGCCATTTGTCCCCTGTGTGGTCTCACATGACAGTACCTCTCCATGGCCTGTTTCTCTTCTCCAAAATAGTGAAAATGATGGAGTTATTGTGCAAATTAAGTGGAAGCTTAATCTGTAGGGCATTGACAACAGTGACCGTACAGCACAGGCACAGGAAAAGTAGCTGTGATGGTCTGCAGCGAACTGTACTTTTGTGTCTTAGGTTGATTCACCAGAAGCAGATCCTGGGACAAATATTCAAGTAAAAGGGATTAATAAAAGGTGAGGAGGGTCCTAGCCGGTTTGGCTCAGTGCATAGAGCATCGGCCCAAGGACTGAAGGGGCCTGGGTTTGATTCCGGTCAAGGGCATGTACCGTGGTTGCAGGCTTGATTGCCCACTTGGTGGGGCACGTGTGGGAGGCAACCAATCGATGTGTCTCTCTTACATCAATGTTTCTCTGTCTCTCCCTCTCCCTTCTACTCTCTCTAAAAATCAATGCAAAATATATCCTTGAGGATTAACAAAACAATAATAATAAAATTTTAAAAGTGATGGGGTGGGGAGAAGGGGAAGAGGGTAGGGATGTTACTAGACTGGAACCTGCCCAGAGGGGGCCTGGCACAGGCCAGCTGGTGGTGTGTGAACTCCTGGCTTCCTGCAGGAAAGATGATTTTGAGAGGACGTTTATTAACGCTGGGGACAGTGAAACAAGGAAGGGCCTAGGCTAGAAGCAACAGGAGAGCCCAGGCTGGGCTGCTTGCTCACTGATAAGTGGAAGGAGAGGGGCCTTGGAGACAGGCTCAGGGGTTAGCCCCGGACAGCTGCCACCGCCCATTGCTCCCCTGGTTGCAAACCTCTTGCGGACCCTTAGAGAGATGCGCGCTGGGGGTAGGGGGCATGCTCCTGGGGAGGGCAGCCCACGTCCTTCCCTGAGGGTTTAAGGCTGGGTGTTAGGGGAGGTCTTAGGGGAGGATCTCAACCAGCTTTATGCTGATTCGCCAATGTGACATTTACTCCCTGAACTTCGTCTGCCCTTGGGTGAGGGTGGCAGAAATAGCACTAATTAGATTTCTGCTATCTGTCTCCCAGAGTGGAGTGATTTAAGCTGTTTACCCTCTGACTGAGGAGGAGAATAAACCATTCACTTTTAAGTGTCCTCGGTCAGGGAAGACAGGAGTTTTTGATTTTTGATGGCTGCAAACTGCTTGCTGTTTTTAATAAACGGTTCTGCCTCAGTTTCCCTGCTCCGCTTGTCCTGACTGGCCAGCCTGTCTCAAGGACATGGACCTGGGAGGGAAAGAGGCCAAGCGAAATCTCACGGAGAGCAGCCTGGGCTCTGAGCACTGGGTGTAGAGAGCCCCGTGTCTGCGGCCATTAGGGCTGGGGGGAAGGGGGCCAGTGGAGACTCATCTCCAGGTGCTCCCAGCACTCCCTGCGCCTGGCACAGGCCCGGCAGCCGCAGGGGGGCCGCACACTGGGGTCAGGAGGCCCCCAAACGGTGCAGGTTGCAGTGGAGGGTGCAGAACGGTCTCTGCTCCCCAGAGGCCAAGGGAGGAGGCCAGGCACAACTGCACCCCAGGCAGTGGCTGGGAGGGCGGCGGAGGGCGGATGGAGAAAGCCGACTGGCTGGGGAGAGGAAGGCGGCCTGGCAGCCAGGACCAGCCCCTGAGAGCGGAGCCCTGGAGGCCCAGGCACACACGCAGCCTGCCCTTCCCAGGCGTGCTCCCCCGGGAAGCCTGCCTGACTGTTCAGCTCCCTCCCCTTGAGTCTCGTTGGAACTCAGGGCGTTGACGGCCAAGGCTACTATGTACTTCTGTGTTTCCTCATGTAGTCATGTAGTTACATGCAGCCCTGCTGTCTGTGACGGATGTAACTTTGCATGTAAGCCTTGTGCCCCCAGTTTAATGTTAAGCTTCCTGAGACTGGAAACTATATACTTTTACTCTTTATACTCTCCCAGGGCACCCAGCATTGATGGACGTAGTAAGGGTATAAGATAATGACTGAGTGCCCTGACCGGTTTAGCTCAGTGGATAGAGCATCAGCCTGTGGACTGAAGGGTCCCAGGTTCGATTCCGGTCAAGGGCATGTACCTGGGTTGCGGGCACATCCCCAGTGGGAGGTGTGCGGGAGGCAGCTGGTCGATGTTTCTCTCTCATCGATGTTTCTAACTCTCTATCCCTTTCCTTTCCTCTCTGTGAAAAATCAATAAAATACATTAAAAAAAAAAAAAAAAGATAATGACTGAGTGAGTGAGTGAGTGAATGAATGAATGAATGAATGGTGAACCCAGACCACTTTGGGCCCATTAAATTGTCTGTTCCAAAATTATTCTCTAACTCTAGGGCTGTTTTTAAACTGATCACTTACAGGTTTTGGTGGGAGTTACCACAGAAGCAAACCGGCTCCTCGGCATGAAGTCTGAGGTCACCAGCACTCGGTTTCTTCTCGCCCCTTCCGTCCCCACCGGGTCAGCCCCTCAGTTGACAGGTCATTAGGATCTCTGGACCCTGCCCTTTGAACTTTCCTGCTCAAATACTCCCTAAAAGAATTTTATTTTTTTAATACTCACCTGAGGATATGTTTTTTAATTGATTTTAGAGAGGGAGAGAAACATAAATGTGCAAGAGAAACATTGATTGGTTGCCTCCCTAACTCGCCCAGACCGGGGATCAAACCGGCAACCCTTTGGTGCCTGGGATGACACTCTAACCAACTGAGCTACCGGCTTGCTGATACCCCAAAGTCTCAGGTTCGATCCCTGGTCAGGGCACATACAAGAAACAACAAATGCATCATAAATAAGTGGGATAACAAATCGATGTTTCTCTCTCTCAAATCAATAAATAAAAAATTTTAGGAAAAGAACTTTGAAAAGCAATGTGCCCCTCACATATTCTTAAGTCAACAGCTAACATTTTCCATTAAGAGTTTAAACATTGCAATTCCTATGCTTTCCAGGGACGTGTCTTCGCGCAGCTGGGCGGATCAGCGCCCTCTCCTGGCCTAAGCCCTTGAGCCGTCTGCAGACTCAATTCATTTCTTTTTCTTTTCTGTTCCACTTTCCCTCTAGAGTTTTATCCTAATGAAATTCTTTCATTGTATCTTTTTCTGTGTATTTTATTGTATTTTTGGAAAGTCCTTATTGTATATCTCTGTAACAAAGATACGTGTATAAATTGAAGTGTATGTCCTGTGACCATGAGACTCTAAGTGTTAAAGTTATTCTGCAGTGAGCTTATAATTACAATTATAACAAGACACAATTGATAGGAACTACAAATATTGTGATGAACAATATTGATTGGTCTTCCTGTACATGGCCCTGGGAACGTCCGTGTCTCGGCAGGGGTCTGCAAAAACTATGAGCTAGTGAAGAGAGGCTTAGCTTGGCTTCCGTTCTCCAAAACCAGGGTCCCCGGATGCGGATGCGGCATGGGTCTGAACCCCTTCGTCCATTACACTTCCAGCCGCCTGTGGCTGAGTCCCACGTCCTGGAGCACATGGCAAGCCAGGAGCTGAAGTTACTTCCAATGTCTGTGGGGTGTGGCTGTGAGGATGGACCTCATCATTGGGAAAGAATCAACCTCAATTCAAAATTAAGAAAACATGCTTTTTATTTCCATTTCACAGAAGCACCATCATTGCCTCCTGACAGTTCCTAGTTTAAGCCACCAGGTGGCAGCAGAGAGCACAGAGCGGTGAGGGGACCCAGGAAAGGGGCGTTGGGGGAGGGGGGGCCCAAGTAGAAGAGAGGACTAGACTGAGGTAGGGATATATGCTTATGCTGTTAGAGAAAAAAGAGGGGGGATGTGGGCGCTAAATATGGCTCAGGAGGGGATAGGAAATGCTGAGAGCGCACCTTCATGACTGAGAATGCAATTGAGGGAGTGAGGAAGGAAGGGTTAGGCTAATTCAGGGGAAGCAGTAGAGAGGGGCTCGGGCGGCCTCTGGGAGGTCTGTCTATCTGTACTCTTCCCGGGGCAGGTCATGGTCTGGCTCCTCCTGAGGCCAGCGGTCCGTCTCAGGGGCAGGCGGCCAGGGGTTTTCTGGAGGCTGGGGTCCTGCTGGCCAGGGGTCGTCAGGCCGGGGAGGTTTAGGGGGATCGGTTCTAGGAGGCTTAGGCGGCCAGACTCCAGATTCAGGCGGGTCTCTCAAGGGACGACTGGGGCCTGGAGGTGGAGGGTCCTCAAAGAGAGGGGGTGCCCCTGGCCAGGGGTCACCGGGGATGGGGGCACCCTGAGGAAATGTTGGGGAGCCCTCCTCCTGTCCAGCCCCTGCCGGTGGGGGAGGGGGGTGGTCTCCACTGCCTGAGATGCCTATAGAGGAGGAAGGAGAAAGGTAAGAAGTGATGCTGGCCAGAGACCCAGCCAGCTGCAGGCCCGGGGGACACAGCCTGCCTGGGATGGACCACAGCCTGAGCGGACCCCAGACCTCAGAAATAACTCCCCACACATTTACAAAACACCGAAGTGATCTTAAAATGACATGAAAACCCTGTCCCAAGCCATTAACTTGACCTTTACACTGAGAGGACCCCCCCACCCCCAATAAGCTCGATCCAGCCCTGATTGGGTCATCCCACTGGCATGGCCCCGGTGCTGGTCTGCAGCCCCCAAATGGTCTACACGTTGGCCCCAAGTGGCACCCCGTGACCTCCACCCTCCTTCACATAGACCTCAGCTCCGCACACCTGAATTCTGACCTAAATGGCCACATGGAGCTACCTCCCAACCAGCAAGACATGCGCTCTGAGCTACACGCACCTCTCCCATCCCTTTAACTCTGCCCCTCAAGCGAATTCCCAGAACCTCATCCCTATGCATCCAGTTCACCCCTCCTTCTTAGTGGCTGCCTTCTTCGCACCTTGACCATCCCCCTCACCCCAAATGCACCCGCCTCTATTCCCAGCGCACCTCCCGGGTACAGGCAAAGCAGCAGGATCCCCAGCAGCTTCCAGTCGAGCATCATGGCTGTCTCCTGGCCCCCAATGTCAGGGGTGGGCTGAGCCTGGGTGCCTGGGAACCCCAACAGGCTTTATAGGGGAGGAGGCCCATCTCTGGGAGGGCCAGCCCAGTGACACAGGAGTCCCATCAGAGCCTAACCAGTCAAACATGCTTGGAAGGCCATGCTGACGTGTAACCCGGAGGCTGGCGTCCCTCCTTTTTTTCTCCTACTGTCATCTCTAATCACAGGGACTTCCGCCTCTTTCCTCGAAGCCACTGGAAGCCAAGGAATGGGAGCAAGCCGGCTGGGGCCGGGTAATTACAGGGCTGAGGGCAGGGCCGGGGAGGGGTGGTTCCTCTGAATGCCTGGGATGCACCCAGGAGGGTGTCAGTAGTGTCAGAGCCTCCGCCCTCCACTGTTTGAGCTCTCCCCCTGGGGCTCAGGCCTCCCCTGGAAGGTCCACTCCCTCAGGACCAAGCAGCTGCTCCAGGGCACAGGGGCCTCCAGGAATTCCCTCCAGGAGCCGCGGGCGGGCGGGCCAGGAAGGTGAGGACTTCCTGATTCCTTCTCTCCACCTCAGCGCTGTTCCAGCCGTCACGCCAGAGGCTCTCAGCTCAGTCATCCCAGC